AAAAGGTAAGTGCCAACTAGCCAAACTAATTTTGTTTTTTTTTTTCATTTCCCTCTGACATCTCTAGCTTTGGAATCGTTTTGGACTGGTTACGCGGCCAGGTGCCACTTTCGACGAGACCAAATCTTTGTCAGACGTAAAAGTCTTGAGCTTTGCCATCTCCATACATTGTTAATCCAAAATTCACGCGCGGGCCGCCCGCCGCGTCAACGAATTTCTTGGCCACCCCTTTCGGAAGTCATTTTCCGAAGAATCCGTAGCCAGTAGAAACCAACAAATGTGGTCCCCGGTTCCCATCCCATGTTTGTCGCGCGGCATCTTGGCAAAAAGTCTTTTTTTTTTTCTATTTCTTTTTTTTTCTTTTCCCCTGGTCCTTGTCATCTAGATACTTTTTTATTTTAAAGTTTTTGCGCCCAGGCGATTTGCTCAGCCGGGCTGTGTTGAGCCTCGCATGCTCCGAGATTTGTATTCGTCCAAGCCATGATGAACCGAAAACAGTTAGGAGCTAGAAACTCCCCTTCCTTTTTTATAGTGATTATAAACAGAAAAAAAAAAAAAAGGCGTCACAAAGAAAGGAGGAAAGCATACAAGGCACAACGGCAACAAGACTTCGTCATACCAACAACATGGCCCCCACCACTTGCCACGCGGCGGACGGGGGTCCTAATAGCCATCTGGCCCGCCACACCAACATCCCTATTAGCCTTTTTAGCGGTCCCCCGACGCTTAAATTCGTGGTGTTGCGTTTTTTTACAAGGGCCCATCACATTGTCATTTCATGTGTTGGCTGCAGCGAAAATTTGTTCATAGAATATTTAGTAGTATAAAATAGTGAAATGACGAAAGAAGAAGCACTAGAGCCAAGAGACGTTATCTTAGCCTCGACACCTCAGTATTTCGCGGAAAGACGGAAGTGCTTCCCCCAAACTGCCACGAGGACATTGGCGGGGGTGCGGTACTAGTTATAGGGAGGCAACTAGGCCCCAAATTCACCAGCCTCGGTCGCTTTCCTACATCCTCAACCATACGATGCATCGTGATGGCCACGCCACCCCCATCCCCCCCCCCAAAAACGACCGCGCGGCCGTTAATTTGCCAGTCTGTGAGACCTGCCCACGAGAGCCGCAACCCGGCCACTGTTTCCGTTTAGCGAACAGGACGTTTGGTCATGTGAATTATCGCCCTCTTTTTCATTGTACGCAACAACTCCATAGCCCCAAACTCTTTCATACTTGTGATGACTCAATACACTGAGAAGCCGTGGTAGCTTCTTTAAGAGTAAAGCAAAGTAAAGCAGAGCAAAGCGAAAAAAAAAAAGAAAAAAAGTCTGTCGGCAAGATTCCGAAGGACCAATTGATCATGTTTCTTGGCGTGCTTCGTAGCAAGTTGACCAGGTGAAACTTTCCTTGTCGATAGTGGCGTGAGCTGGCATAGTTGTCGAGAGAGAAAGGAGGCTCTTGGCATGAATGGTAGAAGTGGCCGTGATGTTTGGAGTAAAGCACCAACGCTAGCTAGGAACTAGGTTTGAATTCTTCTGTGATTTTTATTTTTTAATTTTACTTTTCTTCATTCTTCCCCCTCTTTACCCAATCGGCCACCAGAGAAAATCTTGGGCCTTTTTTGTTCGGGATGGCGCTGGGTTAGCTTCCCCCTCCTAAACGTAGCGGGAAACTCTATCGTAGCACAAGCTGCACGACTGGAGCCCGGCCAAGGAAGCGACAGCCGGGAAACGTCTACTGCAAAGGGGTTTCAGATCCTGCAGAGCAGAGCCCAGCTGTTACAGGCACACAGGAAGGGGCACATCGAGATGGCTTCGGAAGCAACACCAATTGGCTGCAAGGCTGAGAGAAGCGCCGGAGCCAAGAAGCAAAGAACTTTGCGCATTGGCAAAACCAACAATGGCTGCTTGAGCCAAGACCCAAAGCCGCCCCCCTCCTCCAATACCCTTCCTTGGACTCGCACAGGAGGCTCAGTTGAGGTTAGACGGGACAAGCTGCTCACTAGCTAGCTGCTGGTCGAACGATGGCCAGCACATGGTTGCAACATGCAGTGGTAAGGTGTTTGAGGAGTCGAGGTGCTGAAATGCTGATGTGCGTAGACACAGACTTTATTTAGACCCACGAAGACACAGACGGTGAGGTTGTATTGTAAGTGTGCTTTGAAAAGATGAACCAAAAAAAAAAGAGTCACCGTCTCATCGTGAGAGGGCTCGCACCAAAAAAGGTCGCTCACTCGTCGGAAGAGGGCCGCTCCGGTGAATGCACTAAAAAGAAGATTGATGCTGCGATTCTAATTTCGGCAGCGTTGTTTTGGAAACAGAAAATACCGCGGCAGAAAAGGAACACGTGTGCTGGCTAGGGATTCCTTCTTTTTCGGCTTCCAAGATTATGCAATCTGGGTGTTTTCAAAGCAAAGCAACTTGTTGATGGTCGTGATACATGTAATGCGTGTCAACGCAACGCATGCAATGGCTTGTGGCTGGGTTGGTGGGTTCGCCGGACACGCTGACTGGCTCGGTCATCGTCCAGCCAGGGCTGGCCTGGCCTGGCACAGCCGTCGGGTCCAGCAGAGCGCAACCTGATGCATCAGAACCGAGGGAAACAAGAACTTGCGCAAACGCTTGCTGTAAGAAGAACTACTAGAAAAAAGCGTAAGTACCGGGAGACGCAATGTGCCAAGCCAAGGGAATTAATTCCCAAGAGAAATTATACATCATCTAGAACTCTGATGTTGACGCGATACGGAGAGTTGGTCCGAGTGTGCACGCAACCTCGTTGGCTAGTGTTATTAGACAGTCACCTACTAGGTACCCTACCTGATTACCACTATACGTATGGAACGGTCTTCTAAAAAATTGCCGACCACAACTACCAGCAACCCGGTCAAACGGTATTTAGGCGAGCCCGCCAAGCCAACTTCAATCTCAAACAAGTTGAATAGGAAACACAGACGCAGAGACCGGCGAGCCCGTACAATGGGAAGTAGGAGAATGAGAGGAGTGACGGCCCCAGTTCAGTTGATGCGGCCGCTGGGAATACCTGTGGGCAGCACTGCCAAATGCGGCGGAGAGAGGGGAGGGGGGGGGGGGCTTCTCGTTTAGGGGAGTTGCTGCAGGGTCTGGGCGGACGGGTTGGCGAAATGGAGAGGGGACAAGGAGAAGGGAGTTGATGAGGAGATACTGATATGGCTAGTTGGGGCGTGGACAGGTACCTGGGGGTTTTACGTGGGATACAATAGAGACTTGGGAGACTTGAGATACAAGAGACGGTACAACGGTACATGCATAGCTACGTGCGTAGTACTGGGACTGCTGGTAGACTCGGGCACCGAGGCGTTCTGAATGCGGCTTCCACTGCTCTGCAGCAGCAGTACCCAGGACCAAGCACAAGCAACAGCTAGCGCGGTCTCTATCTCTCTGTCTCTCTGTCTCTGTCTGTCTCTCTCTCTCTCTCTCTCTCTCTCT